ACAGTCTAGCCAAGACACCATAATACCCTTTCCCCACCTGCCCGTGTGCTGGACACTTCATGCATTTAGAAAGTATATTCTGGATTTTAGAGTGCGACATTATTTTAATATTTAAAATGGAACATTCAGAGCAGCGTCTAAACAGCTGAAATGTATTTATATTGATTTCCTTATTTATATTTCAAATGAAAGGTGATGGGGGGGCAGCAGCGATGAAGATAATGTAATAATAACCGGGCTTCTGGCACAACCAGGGTCAAGGTTCTGCCACCCGGGCAGAGAGTGCCCGCCTTGAGCGAACTGTTATTTGAGAAATGCGACATCGGCAGAGCAGACGAGCGATCCGCATAACGTCGTTGGCAGCGGTTGATGGATGCCGTACGGCTAACTGACCTTTCCAGGAAGATGTCTGCAGCGCTCACCTTTTCTCCTTTCTGCCCCGAAACTCCCTTGGGCCCGTCGGTGCCAGGCACGCCGCGCTCCCCCTAAGCAGAGCCCAAAGGTCCACGTGAGCGTGACAGAACAAAACCCACGAAAGCAAGTTGCAGCCCCACCGCAGCCGGGTGGGGCTGAAGGGAGAAAGGGCCAGGGCCAAACCCATGGGAAGGAGCCTGGTGGAGGGGTGAGACTCTGAGACCGGGCTGGGGAGATCCAGCTACTTGCAGGGTCAAAACAGGCAAAATGGTGGCCATAACCAGGCAATCAAAGCTCTGCCTTTTTTAAGGCACGGTGCAAATATAGAAGGGCAAGGGGGTGGATTCCGGAGACCAGAGGCTGGAGGTGACCCACGGCGGGCTGGGGGTGGCTTTCGCTATGAGTGGGGATCTGCAGATCGCCCTTCTTAAGGCCCCTTGCCATTAAACCATGCTTGGACTGGAAGGAAATCAAAAACCCTCTAAATCAGGGTTCCTCAACTTTGGCAACTTTAAGACGGGTGGACTTCAACTCCCAGAATTCCCCCCCCCCCCAAGGTCGGCGGGGGGGTCTTTGGGGTTGGGGACACCCCACTTTTATAGGCAATGGAGGTGGAAACAACATCTAAACCAACGAATGAGTG